AGTTAATACTTTGGTGGTGGTCCTGTATGGGGTGGACCAGGGAGCAGAGCTGGACGGTCTCCCCTGGGCCCTGCCCCCTCCCCGGCACCCCAGTGTGTCCCTACCGGTCCTCTCCAGCCCCTACCAGGGCACGCCAGGCTCCAACTCCCTGAAGGCCACTAAGTTTGTGGTAATTTGTGATGACAGCAATAGAAAACCAATACACGGCCCCCAGCTGTGACAGCCAGAGCTGCCAAGAGCACCCCTGCCATCCCCCCACCCCCGCGCTGCCATACTTGGTGCCCTCACTGAATCAGTCAGGCTGGTCCTGTGGCCGTGTTAACCACCAACAGGCAGCAGATAGATGCGGGGCCAGCTCTGGGCCTCAGCCCTAAGAATGCCCCGCAGCTTCTGCTGTGCAATGGGGGAGAGCTGAGCACCGTCTGCCAAGGCCAGCTCCCTGCTCCACTCTCAGTTCTGGACCATCCCCACCCCCCTCGTTGCTGGAGCTTCCCTCCAGGCCCACTCACTGCTCTTTTCAAAGTTTCCTTGGCCACTCTAATTCCTTTTTGCTTCCAGCTGAACTTTAGAGTAATTTTGCAAGGTCTTGAAAGAATCTTTTTAGTATTTGGGATTTGGTTGCATGCACGGATGAGCTGGAGGCCAAGCTTGCCTGGAACAGTCTGGGCTGGTGGCCACCCCGTGCTTTCCCCAGACTTCGGCAAAGGCTTCTGAGCATCCCAGCATTTGCACGTCATCCTGCCAAGCCCCTCTGACAGGCCCTGCAGGCTCCCCTCCCCTCCTGCTTGGCTGAGGGGGTGTGTCCCCTAATTGTAGAAGCCTCCAGTCCCAGTGTCTGTACTCTGTGCTGGCCATGGACGGCCAATGCCTGCAGGTGGGAGGCACTTTTGGCTCACGCCTTTGCTCACGCTGCCTGGTCCCCACTTCAGCATGGTGCTCCTCTGAAGTCCAGGCTTTGCTCGTGGGGTTTGTAAGTCTGCTGAGCAGTCTGTGTTTTCTTTTTTCTTTTTCCTTTTTTTAAAAAGAATTTTTAGAAGTGTTTACTATGGAAAATTTCAAACACATACAAAAGTAGGCACTATAGTGTAATGAATCTCCATGGGTATCAGCTTCAACAATCACCTGATATTTTCAAAGGCTACCAGGGCCCACGTCCCAGTCAGACTGGCTGGCTGCAGTAGCCCCAGTACCACACAAGACATGGTCCATCCAGGAGCGTGTAGTCCAGCAGGGAGATGGACGTATTCACACACGGCCACTGTACAGAGATAATGTCTGTGGACGGGTTGGCCTGGGGCACAGCGGAGAGCTGTGAAGAGGGACACAGAGGGGCTGGTACACACCATGCAGGCACACCCTGCTGCACTCTCTAGGCAGAGCTGTGCCTCACCTGGCAGCTGTGTGACAGTGGTCCACTCTGGGTGTGTGGTGTGTTTGGAACGTGGTTAGAAAATGCACACAGGCATGGTCTACCCTCTGCGGCTTCCTGTTGAGGCCGTGGACCCTTGGTGGGAAATAGTGAGAGGTGCTTCCCCACGGGGGTTCCTTCGGTCAGTGTGAGTGACGACGGGGAAGGGGCCAACCTGCTGCTGCTTCCCCAGGTGAGCGCTCACCCCGTCTTGTTTTCGCTTTGTGTTTCTGGAAGTGTGAGAGGGTTGTAAGTGCAGATCTTCTCCTGAGTTTTGACTAATCAGTCTTTTTTTGTGTTTCTAGGTGCTGGCAAAACCCCCACCCTGGGTGGCGGCTTCCATGTGAACTTGGGCAAGGAGTCAAGAGCACAGACCCTGCAGAATGGTATTTCCCACTGCGGAGACCGCCGAGCACGGGCAGGTTCCAGGAGGTGGGGTTGCGGTGCTGGCATGAGGGGACGGGAGCAGAGCAGCCTCAGCTGCTGTCTCTCGGCTTGGCCTCATCTGTGTCCCCCAGTCATGTGGCCTCCTGGGCATCCTCAGAGACCCTCTGCAGGGCCCCTCAGAGTGAGGCCGTGACCTTGCTGGGCTCACAACCATTTGTTAGTGGTCTCAGTAGAAATGAGTAGGAAGCAACACATTTATAGCAGTTTGACACTGTGGTGACATTTTTGTTGTGTTTTATGAAAGTACCAGTTCACAACAAATTGAAGGAATGTCTGTTCAAATCCTCAGCCTGTTTCTTATCAGGTTTTTTGTCCTGTTATTGAGTTGGAAAGTTCCTGCTCCTGGCCCTCCACCCCACTGGGGGCACCTCTTCTGCTGGCTGCAGATTCCTGTCCTATCGCCCTCGCCCTTGCGAGTTTGCGCCGACTTCATCTCCTTAGTGCCATTTTGTGTAGTTTTGGGAGGGCGTCTAAAGGGCAGATCCCAGCATATTTTCCAGACATTCTCTAGAGACGTGAGAGGGAATTTTGGCCCTTCATGATTGGTGCATTTCTGATGGGCTCTTCCTGCCTTTTATTTCATATTTATCTTCCTTTTAAAAAACCTTCACTGCCTTTTGCTGACTTAATCGTGGTTTATGTTTCTTTTTATTTTCCTTATTATTCTGTGTTCTTCCCCTCCTCCTCTCACCCCTCTGGTTTGGAAGTTTTACATCATATGATGGTTCCCTCAGTGGTTTCCCTAGATTTATTAGCGAAGCTGTGCTCTGCCAGTGACCGCAGGGACTCAATCTGTCATCCCCCAGGAGCTTGCCCTGTGTCCACTTCCCACCTCCCACCCCAACCTGTTGGGTTGTTTGAAATTGTGAATTTAGCTTCAGACTGTTACTGTTGCTGTTAAGTCTTGATTGCCTTTCTTAGACAACAGGAAAGATGGAAGTAAACTAGCTGGCCGTTCCTCCTGCCTGCGGTGACAGGCCTCACCAGCTTCTGCCCAAGCCATGCTCTTTCGTGGATTTTATCTTTAGTTTCTTTGGGCACATACTCAAGTTGTGTTTAGAAAAAGAGTCTGGGGAGAGAAACTCTTGACTCTCTGTTAATCTGAACATGGATTTTTCCTTTCACTGAGATGCTTGTTTAGGGGTTTGAAACGTGCATCACATGGAAAGCAGAGAATATTGGCTCAGGGTCTGTTAGCGAGAGACCTTGAATGCCATCTGAGTTTTGATCTCTCACTCTTTTTTTTTTTTTCCCTTTTTGTCTTTTTTTTTACTGACCGGTAACGGGATCGCAACCCTTGGTGTCGCGCCCGTACCGGGGACCGGCAACGGGATCGCAACCCTTGGTGTCGCGCCCGTACCGGGGACCGGCAACGGGATCGCAACCCTTGGTGTCGCGCCCGTACCGGGGACCGGCAACGGGATCGCAACCCTTGGTGTCGCGCCCGTACCGGGGACCGGCAACGGGATCGCAACCCTTGGTGTCGCGCCCGTACCGGGGACCGGCAACGGGATCGCAACCCTCGGTGTTGCGCCCGCACCGCGCTCAGCCAGTGAGCGGGAACCGGTCTCCACATGGGATCCGAACCCTCGGCGGGAGCACCACCACGCTCCCAAGCGACGCACTCTCCAGTGCGCCACCGGGCCGGCCTCGTCACTCTTTTTTTAATCTCAGACCTTTTGTGTCATGTCTTTGTCTTTGGAGTTCTGAAGCACGCTGGGCTGGAGCTGTTTCCATTGACTTGGTGAGCCCTTTCATTTGGGAGGTGTTTCTCAGGGAAATTTCTGTTCTTTTGGTCTGTTTTCCTGCTATGACATATTTATAGTAAAGTGCGTAAAATGTACTAGCCTTCAGTGAACTGCTTGATAAATTGATATGAATTAAGGTATGCAGCAGAGATCAAGATATAGCATATTTCTGCTACCTCAGAAAGCTCCCTATTATTCAGTTTTGTGTAGTTTTCTTCTCATACAATTGGAATCATACAGAATGTACTTTCTTTCTATAAGACTTTTTTTTAGAGCAGTTGTAGGTTCACAACAAAACTAAGAGGAAGGTACAGAGAATTCCCCTATACCTCTTACCCCCATGAGCACAGCTCCCCCACTGTCAACGTCACTCACCACAGTGACACACTTATTACTGTCTTTCAACCCACACTGACATGTCATTAACCACCCAAAGTGCACATTAGGGTTCACTCTTGTGCGGGTTTGGACACATGTGTAACGCTGTGTATCTACCATTACAGTGTCATACAGAACTGTCACTGCCCTAAGAATCCTCTGTGCTCTGCCTGTTCATCCCTCTCTTCCCCCAAACCCCTGCAACCACTGGTCTTTTTACTGACCTTAGTTTTGCCTTTTTCAGAATGTCATTTAGTTGGAATCATCTGAAAAGTTCATGGAAAAATCCGTACTATTTTTCAATTCTGTTTGTCCACAAGCTCTCTGAAGTACCCTTGGATAGTATGTAGGCTTTTCAGCTTGGCTTCTTCACTTAGTCACATGCATTTAAGGTTCCTCTGTGTCTTTTTATGGCTTGATAGCTCATTTCTTGTTAGAACTGAATGATATTCCCTTGTCTGGATGCACCGCAGTTTATTTGTCTGTTCACCTGCTGAAGGGCATCTTGGTTGTTGCTTCCAAGTTTTGGCAGTTATCAACAAAGCTGCTATAAACATTCATGTGCAGGTTTTTCTGTGGATATAACCTTTCCCCTCCTTTGGGTAAATACCAAGGAGTGCCACTGCTGAATTGTATGGGAAGAGTGTGTGTGGTTTTGTAGAAAACCACCAGACTTTCACAGAGCGGCTGCACTGTTCTGCGTCCCTGCCAGCAGTGAATGACGGTTCCTTCTGTTCCACATCCTGGCCAGCATTCCTTATGTCAGGGTCCTGGGTGTCAGCCATTCTGGAGTGCACACTTTTTGAGTGTATCTGTAGTGCTGGGTTTTTTTTCCTAATTGCTGTGTGGTATTTTATTGCTTGAGTATGCCACAGTTTATCTGTCTGCTTTTGCTGTTGATGCGTATTTGGGACGTCTCCACTTTTGGCTATTCACGTGAAGCTGCTGTGTGCGTCCTCACACATGGCCCCACGGTGGGCGCAGCATCAGCCGCTCTTGGGAATATACCTGCGGATGAGATTTCTGGTATCTCATCAGGTATGTGTGTGCTCATCATTAGCAGAGAGGGCCAAAACGTTTTCCTGAGTGGTTGTACCGACCCATCCTCTCACCAGCCGACAACGTCTGAGAGTTCCATTGGTGCGGTTGCTGTCAGTACTGTCGTTTACCAGTCTTTCTGGTTTTAGTCTTTCTGGTGGCAGGTGGAGCGCTCACTGATTTTAATCTGCTTTCCCTGCTGAGTGAGTGTGATGACCACCTTTGCTTATGCTTTCTGGACATTCGGGCATCCTGTGTGTGTGAAGTGCCTGCTCATGTCTTTTGCATGTTTTTTTTTTTTTTTAATTGAGTTATCTTTTTCTTATTGATTTGTAGAAGATCTTTATATATGCTGTATTTGAGTCCTTTGTTGGATTTACATACTGATATGCATTGAATGTTTTCCCCAAAGTTTCATGTATTAGAAACTTAATCCCCACTGCGACAGTGCTAAGAGGGTGGGAAATCCTGTTGTGGTAATTGACAGTTGGGGCCTTGAAGAGCTGCTGAGATTGTGAGGACTGTGCCCTCATGAATGAATCGATCCATTCATGGAGCAAAGGGCGTGATTCTGATGGCTTTAGAAGGAGGCAAGTGAGCAACGCTCTTTCTTGCTCAGCCCATTCTCTTGCCATGTGACACCCTGTGGCACTGTAGCGAGTCACCACCAGGAAAAGGCCCTCACCAGATGTGTTCCCTGGATTTTGGACTTGCCAGCCTCCCAAACTGTAAGAAATAAATTCTATTTCTTTATACATTACCAGGTTTCAGGTACTGTGTTATAAGTCCATCTGAGATGGACTAACACGTATTTTGAATCCTTCTTCCAAGTCTGTAGCTTGTCTTTTCCCTCTACTAATGTTGTCTTCTGATGAACAGAAATTTCTTAATTTAATGAACTCCAAATGTATCAGAGCTAAGTGGCCAGCCCAACATATCAGTTTTTTTTTTTTTTTTTTTTTTTAAAAGATGACCGGTAAGGGGATCTCAACCCTTGGCTTGGTGTTGTCAGCAAGTGAGCGAACCGGCCATCCCTATATAGGATCCGAACCCGCGGCCTTGGTGTTATCAGCACCGCACTCTACCGAGTGAGCCACGGGCCGGCCTCCAATATATCAGTTTTTATGGTTAGGGCTTTTTGTGACTTGTTTAAGAAATTTTTATTTACCTCAAGGCCTAAATGTACTCTTATATGCTTTCATCTGGAAGCTTTATTATTTTATATTTGACATTTATATTTGAGATATACTTTAATCAATTTTTCATGTATGGTATGAAGTAAGGATTGAGGTTTACATTTTTCAATATGGATATCCAATTTTTCCAGAACTGTTTATCAAAAAGGCCATCTTTTTCCACTGGAATGCTTTGGCCCCTTTTTCTTAAATCAAGTGACCATGTGTGTATAGTCCATTTGCAGACTTGTTGTGACTCTACAGATGGTATCTCTGAGTTGCTGTCAGTCTGCTGGTCTGTCCTCAGGCCAGTACTACATTTTCTTGATTACTGTGCCTTTAGAGTAAGTCTTCAAGTTTGGTAGAGTAAGCTTTCCAGCTCTTTTGTTCTTTGAGATTGTCTTGGCTATTCTTGTTTTTTATTTTATTTTTTATTAATTTTTTTTTAAAGATGACCAGCAAGGGGATCTTAACCCTTGACTTGATGTTGTCAGCACTACACTCACCCAGTGAACTAACTGGCCATCCCTATATGGGATCCGAACCCGTGGCCTTGGTGTTATCAGCACCGCACTCTCCCGAGTGAGCCACGGGCTGGCCCCTGTCTTGGCTATTCTAGTCCCTTTGCATTTCAAAATAAATTTTAGAATCAGCTTGTTGATTTCCAAAAGAAAACCTGCCCAGATTTTGGTTAGAATTATGCTGAATCTTTACATCAAATTGTGGAGAACTGCTACATTTACTTGTTAAGCCTAATAATTTGTAGATTCTTTTCTTCTATGTAACAGTCATGCAGTCTGTGAATAGACATTGTTACTTCTTCCTTTCCTGTCTTTATACTTATTTTCAGTGCCTCATTGCACTTGGAAGTGCCCTGACGCTAGACTCTCTGGTACAGCATTGTGCAGAAGGGGTGTGAGTGGATTTTCTTATCTTATTCCTGACCTCAGTGTGAAAACGCTCAATATTTCACTATTATTAAGAATGGTAACAGGCCGGCCCTGTGGCATACTCGGGAGAGTGCGGCGCTGGGAGTGCAGCGGCGCTCCCGCGGTGGGTTCGGATCCTATATAGGGATGGCCGGTGTGCTCACTGGCTGAGCGTGGTGTGGGCAACACCAAGCCTGTCGGGCCTCCCTGAGCCAGAGGCCGACAAAACCGAGCGGGAAGAGACCCCGGTCCAGCCGGGGGTCCCTTGTGGGGCTGAGCGGGATGATGAGTGTCGCTGGCACGGCCCTTCCCCCCCAGGACCTTCCTCCCCGGGGGCCGAGAAAGAACACCACCGAGCCAGGAGAGTGGTCAAAGCCAGAACTCCGTTTATTACAAGGGTGTTGGAGCTTATATAGAGGGAGAAAGTGGAAGTAGATAGAGAGAGCGGGAAGGGACGGCTGCCCAATCAGGGGAGGCCATGAGTTAGGGGGGTGGGTGATGGCAGAGCGGGAAAAAGTTGTTTAGTCACTAGGCCCCGGAAGAGAGAGCAATTGACTACGTGCATATCAGCGCTACTGAAATGGCGGCAGCGGACTTGTATTTCAAAACGGCCGCCGCTTGGTTTATATTAGAAAATAGGAACTACACACAGGCAGACGCCTTATGATGTGCTTGCACCGGAATGTGGCCCAACACAAGCCAAGGGTTGCGATCCCTTTACCGGTCACAAGAAAGACAAAAAATAAAAAAAGTAAAAAGAATGGTAGCATTTCATCACATGATTCCTGGTGTGCATTGAAGTGATTTCTCTTTCCTTTGTTAATGTGGTGAATCACATTGGTTTTGTGAATGTTGAAGTCACCTTGCCTGTCTGGAATAGACTCCACTCGGTCTGAGTCTCTGTCTTTTGATTAGGACTTGTCGCGGGGCTGTGGACAGTGGCCATCCAACCCTGGCTGCAATGGAAAGGCTGGCCTGATTTTCACATGATGTCAAAATGTCGAGAGCGCCTATGTGTTGTAAGGTTTACTTCCAGAATTCGCTTATGAGAAGGAAGCTAAGGATAGTAAGCTGTGGTTAGTTAACTAGTAATTGGTTTTATATGCATTTGTATTTATTAATAACGTCTTTGTATATTTACAAATTGCAATCATGTCTAAGTCATGTGATTTGTTCAGTCTGCTAATGGTGAGTGCTGAACTCAAGAGTTTAACGTTTTTTCAGGAGTGGGGTAGGAGTAAATGCTACTGGGGAGCTTTTTTGTGTGATGAAAAATGTACTAAATTGTGATTGCACAACTCTGTGAATATACTAAAATGATTGAATTGTACACTTTAAGTGGGTAAGTTTTACAGTATATCAATCATATTGCAATAAAGATGTTAAAAAATAACTTACTACAGTAATTCTGAGCCCACTGTCTTAGTCCGATTGGGCTGCTGTAACAAATATACCACAGACTGGGCGGCTTAAACAACAGAAATTTATTTCTCACAGTTTTGGAGGCTGGAAGTCCTAGGTCAGGGCACTGGCAGATTTGTGTCTGGGGAGGGTGGCATCCTGGTTCACAGACGGTGCCTCTTTGCTGTGTCCTCATGTGGCAGAAGGGCTGACCAATCTCTCTGGGGTCCCTTTTTTTAAGGACACTGATCTCATCACTGGGGCTCTATCCCATGACCTAATTGTGTCCCAAAGACCCCTCCTCCTAATACCAGCACCTTGAGAGTTAGGATTTCAATATGTAGATTTTGGGGAGACACAACGACTCAGTCTGTAGCACCCCCAAGCCACCCCTGCATGTTGGGAACATAGCCTACACAGGAGGGCTAGTGCCAGCAAGCCCCTGCCGAGGGGTTGGGGCTTGGGAGCAGGTGCCAGCCTCGGTCATGCACCCTGTGGAGAGTACTTTCTCTCTTACCTCTTACTATGGAGTTTTCCAAACATACCCCAAAGACAAAGTAGATAACGGGCCCCAGCTTCAGTGGGTCTCCCATCAGCTGACTCTGTTTACCTCTGAATCTTGCTGGGCCGCGGGGTGGTCTTTGCTCTTGCGTGAGCGTGCATGGTGCTGTCTTTCTTTTTTTTATTTTTTTTTTCCTTTTTGTCTTTTTTTGTGACTGGCAACGGATCGCAACCCTCAGTGTCACGCCCGTACCGGACCGGGACCGGCAACGGGATCGCAACCCTCGGTGTTGCGCCCGCACCTCGCTCAGCCAGTGAGCGGCCGGTCTGTATGTGGGATCCGAACCCTCGGCGGGAGTGCCGCCGCGCTCCCAAGCGGCGCACTGTAGCAGTGCGCCACCGGGCCGGCCCTGGTGCTGTCTTTCTATCCAGTTGGTTGGGGTCTTGGTTCTGTGCCACCCTCCATGTGGGTTCAGCCTAACTGGAGGCCTCAGAGCTATGTGAGCTACAGGCAGAGGGTGTTGGGTACTTGAGGGGCAGGGCTGCAGCAGGGTTGGATGGGGGCGCTCTGTGTGACCATGCTGACCACCCCGTCCCTCTAGTAGAGCATGAGGCTTGTCCCTGACCTGCCAGGCTACATACCCTGGCTGCTGGCATGCTTGGGGCACAGGCTCACCGGGAGCCTGCCTCTGCCAGTGGTCGCTATCAGTGAAGCGTGGCCATGAGCAGCGTGCCAGTCCTTGCCTTCCCAACACTCGTGTCCTTATCAAAGGAACCAGTGAAGTCAGTATTTAATGTTTTGTGGGCGAAGTGGAGGTCACCTAGCATGGCCTTCACGGGAGGAGCATGGGTTTCAGATGCAGGAGGATGCTGGTGGGGACTGGCAGTGTCTGTGATGGCAGCTCTTCCTGGTGTCCTGAGCCTCAACCCACCATTGTGTCCTCTGGGTACCCCAGTGGGCCTCTTGCCTGGAGGTGGATCCTGTCTGCCCACGGTGTCCATACTGCAGACTAAGTGGGGGTGTAGGTCAGTCCAGAGTGCTGATGTGCACAGCTGTCCCCCCAGCTGTCCCTCCACAGCCGTCCTGATGCTGGCCTATGGATGGCTGTGTTCTGCTTCTTCACTGTGTATGTCAGAAGGCCCCGGGGCCACTTTTCCCACCTATACAGCAGTACCTCTGCTTCCTTTCTTGATGCTATCTTTTGGCTCATAGCTTTTGGGAAGGTCTTACTCTGGGAAGATGTGTGGCTTCAGACACTGCCATCCTGGCACCCCGAGTGCCTTGCTGTCCCAAGAGGGCCTGGCACCCTCAAATCTGCCACATCTTGCACTTGCCGCAGCCCCTCCCTGTGGGCAGGTGTGGAGGGGATGGTATGTTAGGCTGTGCCTTTCTCTGGCCAGGCAGCCAGCTCTCTTGCAGGAGAGGCTGGCAGGGGGCTGGACAGGGCTGGACCAAGCAGAGGGCCCTGATGGGAAGGGAGGGGCAGGTTGACCCGGCCCTGTGCTGTTGGGAAAGCCCAGGGCTTGTGGTCCAGGTCGTGTGGCCGCGGGAGAAGGGGCGTTTGCACCGCAAGTCACAGCCTGTCAGGTGAGAAGTACCAGGCTGACCCACCCAAACCAAGCCCTTTGCAGACACCCCAGACTTCAGGGAGCCTTTGAGAGAGGCATATTCAGTCACACCACACATCACGCTCAGAGACTAAAATGTTGAAATGTCAGGAAGAGGGTTTTATGGTCCGTGAAAATCATAGGAAACTCACATTCAGTGTCCATAAATAAAAACTGATGGGGAATACTACTCAGCTATAAAAACGAATGAAATACTGCCATTTGCAACAACGTGGATGGATCTTGAGAGAATTATATTAAGTGAAACGAGTCAGGCACAGAAAGAGAAATACCACATGTTCTCACTTATTGGTGGGAGCTAAAAATAAATAAATAAATTCACACACACATACACACACACACACACACAAAAAAAAAAAAAAACCGGGGGGGGGGGGGAAGAAGATATAACAACTACAATTACTTGAAGTTGATACGACAAGCAAACAGAAAGGACATTGTTGGGTGGGAGGGAGGAGAGGGAGGAGGGAGGGAGGTTTTGGTAAGGGGCAACAATAATCAACCGCATTGTATATCGACAAAATAAAATTTAAAAAATTAAAAAATAAATAAATAAATAAAAATAAAAACTGATGGGAACACATACAGACACACACACACACACACACAGTGAATTAAAAAACTTATAAGGAAAAGGGCAAATCTATACACATAATCTTAAATTGCTGAGGTTGTCATGTGACACTGATTTTTTGAAAAGTTGTCAGTTACCTGAGGGTTGTGGGTTGGTGGCAACGTTTCGTTAAGAGTCGCTTGTGTGTGTCCTAGGGCGGCGCCACATCCACCACCTGGGGAACCAGCTGCAGCTGAACCAGCACTGCCTGGACACTGCCTTCAACTTCTTCAAGATGGCCGTGAGCAAGCACCTGACCCGTGGTCGGAAGATGGCCCACGTCATCGCCGCCTGCCTCTACCTGGTCTGCCGCACCGAGGGCACACCGCGTATCCTTTGGTTTGGGGAGCCCCTCTAGGACCCCATCTTGGTTCTTGGTTCCCTCAAGTATTGTGGTTCAGCAGTTGCAGTAACTTGGCATTTGTATTTAATTGGAAAATACCTTACTGGATTGTCTCAGTTAGCCCAGGGCTTTCTGGATTTGAGGCAGATTTGGCTGGGTTGAAGAATTGGGAAGCTGGCGCTCGCCCCTCCCGCAGCCCTCGGGGGATGGAGCGAGGGTCCTGCGGCCCCGAGGTCATGGCCCAGGTTTCCTTCCCACTTGTGGGCTGACTCGGACTTGGGCCGTCCCCTGCGTCTTCCTGTTGTTTGGACCTGTCTTCTGGTTTGAGGAGGTGGAGGACCACCGCCCACATGGGAATACCTGTGGCTCCAGGTGCCTTGGCTGCCAGGTAGTGGGCGAGGAGGCCTCCTGACCTCTCTCACACAGCTCTGCTCTCCCTGTGCTCTCGTGCTGGGTCTCTGTGCACTCACCTTGCCTCCAGGCCTGCGCTGTCTGCTGCCCTCAGACCCATCCTCCTAAAGAAGCCTCTTCCGGTGCCTCCCAGCCCCTCTACTGTCTGTCTGCTGTCCGAGCCTGCCATGCAGGTGCCTGTTTGGAGGTTCTTTCCCTTGTCCCTCTCAGGGCTCCCTTCTCTTCTGCATGGGGAGCCTGCTTCCTGGGCTACTAGGGTGCAGCCTCTGGGCGGCCCCACGTCGTCCTGCCTCCAGCATTCCCGTCTGGGGTTCGATGCATTCTGATTCCCGGTCCTTTGTGTGTTTCTGTGGTGCTTTCTCTGAAAGCCTGTACATCTTTCTCTGCTTTCAGTGTTCAGAAATCTCACGGTGGGAGCCTGGTAAGCCTTTCTGTCCAGCAGCCCCTGTCACGACCTCTGTTGAGTCACCTCTTTGATTGCTGTCCCTGTTCACTTTCTTTGTGACTCTGCCCGTTCCACTGACTGGGCTCTACGTCTCTTCTCTTCTCTCCCACCTGCTTGTCTCTTCTGCTGTGAGAGAGAGCCTAAACTTGACCTGCCAATGAAGACTTCATTTCTGCTCTCATGTCTTTAATTTCTGCATGTTATCTGAATATTTCTGTTTGTTTGTTTGTTTTGGTAGCTGGCCAGTATGGGCATGCGAACCCTTGACCTTCTTGTTATTAGCACCACGTTCTAACCGGCCAGCCTGAATATCTCTTTTTTGTAATATCCCATTCTCATCTCATAGGAAGTAGTGATACTTTATTGATCTCTTCTCTCGTGGTCTGTTTCTTTCAGTTTGGTCTCTGTGGGAGGCTGTCCTCGATGTCAGGTGACCCTGGTGGTCTTGCTATTTAAGGGAGGAGTTTGAGGAGGGGGCTTGGAGACCATGTTCTGCGTAGACATGTTGATTGTGTTTCCGGCTGGGTGATCATCAGTATCAGAATCTGTCATTAAAATGTCCTTGTAAATTTTTGAAATTTACCATTTCAGCATAAAAATGTCTGAAGCATACATATGCTTTAATGAATGCTGTGAAACCCCAGCAGCACTGATGCAGGTTAACAGAGCCCCACCCCTGTGTGTTACAATGTCATGGCCCCCTCTGCCAGAGGTCGCTGCCACCCCACCTGCTGTTCTGTGTCCTTTGAGCTCTTCTGTGGATGCTGCACTGAGAGGGCTGCCCCAGCCTCACTCTGTTGGGAGACAGGTCAGATGAAGGCCATGGTCACATGAAGGCCCGGGATAGAAGCCAAGCAGAGCCTCAGGGTCAGTGTCCAGCTCTGTCTCCTGAGAGTGTGTAAGGGCCGTTGAGGGCTGTCAGCACTGGAAATCCACATATGCAGGTGGGGAAGTGTGCTTCTGCCCCCATCACGCCCTCCTCTTGCTCCTGCAGCTCAGAGCAGCCACTCCTGCGGGGAGTGTGGACCTCCTAGTGAGTGAGAGGGACAAGGAGGATGCTGGCCCAAGGGAAATTGCAGTGCTATTCCTTGTGCTGCTGGTGGGAGGGCAGAGTGGCGCAGCCACTGTGAAAGCCACTGCTCCTGGAGGTAGACACATTACCACATGACCTGGTAGCCCCTCGCCTGCGTCAGCCCAAGGGAAACATGAAGCTGCGTGAGCCCAAGGACTTGGGCACCAGTGCTCACTGCAGCACCATTCACAGTGGCCAGGGGGTTGGGGGGATGCTCTGTCCCCCAACATGTCCCTCAGCTGAGGGATGAGGGATGGGTGAGCACGATTAAATGTCATGCAGTCATAAAGAGGGGTAGTGGATGAGCCTCAAACATGGACAAACCTGGAACATGGAGCCGCGTGGAAGAAGTAGATATGAAAGTCCACGTGCTGTATGATACCACTGATGTGAAATGCCCATAACAGGCAAATCCACAGAGAGAGAAAACAGAGGGGGTGGTTTCCAGGAGCTGGGGGCATTGACTGCTTAAGGGTACAGGATTTCTGTTTGCGGTGATGGAAATATTCTAAAGTTAGATGGTGGTGATGTTTGTGCAGGTCTGTAGATATAAGCCACTGCACTGCACACTTGGAATGGGTGAATTTGTAGCATGTAACTTTTACCTCTAAAAGCTGCTAAGGATAGGATGATATGGTGCGGAGCTGGGCCTCACGGTAAGGCTGGCTCTCCCGCCCCTCTGGGCTGCTGGTGGCCCAGCTGTCTCTCCTCACTGTCCTCGGAGCATGCCCTGCACCTTGCTCTGGGCTGGGTCTCAGGTAGCCATAGCTCTCATCTTCCAGGTGGATGGGGGACAGGTGTGACACGTTCCTCCCTATCCCCTCTTCAGGTTGGTGGCAGCACCCTCCTTGGGGCCTTTAGCCAAAGCCCCCAAAGTCATCCCAGACATGTCTTTTTCTGCCCTCACCCTCCCCTTTCACTCCAATTCCTCCCCTTCTCCCTCTATACTGACCCTGCTTGGCTCTGTGGTCGCTGTCCTGGCCTCCTCCTATGGCCTTGGCCAGCTAGCTTGGCTCACATGCCACCTCAATTCCTTCAGGAGCTGTGCTTTCCTTCCATATGAAATCCACACCCCAAGAAGGCACATGAAGGCCAGCTCTCTTCCTTGCCAGAACTGCACCACTGGGAGTACAGCCTGTGCTGGCTGTGGGCATCCCTGGCCCATCTCACCCCCACTGCCTGTGGGACTCTTGGTCTTCTTCCAGGACTCACCCCTTTAGCTGAGGAGGAGGAGCATCTTCCACCCCCAACCACTACCCTACTGCTATCAGCAGGACTTGGGAGGGTCCTGTAGAGTGAGTTCACATTGTAGGGGTAGGAGTGAAAGGGGTTCATGGCCCCCACCCATGGAGAGGCACCCCGGATCCTCCTGTCACCCTGTCCAGCCCATGGGTAGGAGTGTGACCTGGGCCCAGGGCCAGACACAGGAAATCTTTGTTCAGAAAGAATAAGGACTTGATTTAAAAACATTCAAACTCATTCCCCCTCCTGCCCAACCTTCATTCTTGCCCAAGTGTGTCTGCTGCCACCCAGAAAGTGCCAGGGCCTTGCACACATAGCCCTCTCCTCACCCCGTAGCCCAGCCAGTGCCACTGTCAGTCCCTGATTCATAGAGTGGGGCCGAGTTCCACCCGATTCTCCAGTGGGGGTCCTGGCCAGGCCCTGCCCTGGCCCTGCCCTGGGCCCCATCAGCTGAGAACCTGGTGCTGAGAACCAGGAGGCCCTGTGCAGCAGCAGGGCTGAGGAAGACCTGGACACAATGAGCAGAAACTAGGCTGTAACTAGACACCTTGTCATTGCCGAGGAGGCGACTGTGGCCCGTGCGTTTTCCTGAGTGTGTGTCCAGACTTGTTACAGCAGCTGTGTGTAAACACACATCAGTAGGAGGTGGTGCTTTTGCCCACAACTGGTTTCTAAGTCTTTGATATTTATTGGATTCCAGCCCAGCTGCCTCAGGCCTGCATGTGAATGGCTGTCTCAGGATGGAGAGGGCAGGTGGGTGGGCCTGTAGTGGGTCTAAGCCAGGAAGCCTCACCTGTCACTGCCTGTAAGCCCTGGGGGGAGAGACAGGTCTGCACAGAGTGTGCTGCTGGGATGACTGGCTTGGACAGCACACCTGATGTGCTGCCCACGCACACGCAACCTTCTGGGCTCTGGTCTGAAGCTGTGCCTGGGTTCAGCTGAGGGGGACAGGCTGAGTGCCCTGGTCACCTGTTGCTGGCTCCCTGTACCCCCCTGTTTCCCTCTGTCCCTTTCCCTCTGCTCACCTCCTGTGGGACAACGGATTTAAAATTATGTAGGCATTCAAAAGAAGATACCAGATGGCCAAGAAGCATATCAAAAGGTGCTCACCATTGCTGGGCATGAAGAAGTTGTCATTTCGAAGCTGCAAGGCAAGCATGGGAAGGACTGCCCATGCCCCGCTCTTCTGCTGGCAGAGAGAGGTGTGGCTGAGTTTTAGCCGTGAGTTGATGCTATGTCCAATAATCCTACAAAACTTAGTTTTTTGTCTTATTATTTGAACTTTGAAATCTGTTTTTTTTTTTTAACGTAGACAATTGTCTCTGCTGCTAATAATGCCAGTTTTACTTCTTCCTTTGTAATCCATGTACCTGTTACCTATTTTTCTTGCTTTTTGCATGCTACAACTGCCAGTGTGGTATTGAGTAGACATGGTGAGGGGACACATACATGGCTCTTTTCCAGTCTTGGGAGGGATATTTTCTACCCGTTACCGTTAGATATTGGCTGTAGGTTTTTTTTCCAGGTGGCTCTTTATCAGGTTGAGGATGTTCTCTTTTTTCTTAATTTTCCAAGAGTTTTTATTGTGAAGTTATTGCGTTTTATCACACACACTTTCTATGTATTTATTGGTGTGATCACATAGGTTTCCCCCCCCCATTAATTAATTTTTAAAGGTTAGACTAACTGTGGATGCACAAACTTGGTCATGATGTGTTATCTTTTTATATATTGCTGGATTTATTTGCTGATATTTTGGGTAGAACGTTGTGGAGTTGGCCTATACTTTTCTTTTTCTTGTAATGTCCTTGTCAAATTCGAATGTAAGTAATGCTGGCCTTCAGAGGTGCTGGGAGGTTCCCACTGTGCTCTGTTCTCTGGACAATTTTGGAGGATGATTGATGCTACTTATTTTTTAAATGTTTGGAAAAATCCACAGTGAAGCCCTCTGTGCCTTTAGTTTACTTTGTGGAAAGCTTTTAATTACAGATTCAATATCCGTAATAGACCTAGAACTATCCTGTCTCTGTTTCTTCTTGTTTTGGTTTTGGTAAGTTGTATTTTACAGGGCATTCGTTCATGTCACGCCAGTTGCCAAATGTATTGCATGAAGTTGTTCTGAGCATTCCCCTAATACCCTTCTGATGTCTGCAACAATTATAGTGGTACCCCTTTCACATCTTATGTCGGTAAGTTTGCCCTTTCCTTTTCTTTTTTTTCTTCAATCCATCTGACTGGGGGGTTATCAGTTTTTATTAGTCTTCTTTCTTTTTAAACAGCTTTATTGAGATGTAACTCACATATATTTCACCCATTAATGGTTTTTCGTACATTCACAGAGTTGTGCAGCTATCACCACAGTCAATTTGAGGACATTTTCATCACCTCAAAAAAGAAAGCCCGTGGCCGGCCCGGTGGCGCACTGGATAAGTGTGCCACTTGGGAAGCGCGGTGGCGCTCCCGCCCGAGGGTTCGGATCCCACATACAGACCGGTTCC